TGGGAACGGAGCTGGGGAAGGGGCTGGGGAGGCTCAGCCTGGAGAGGAGGAGGCTCAGGGGGGACCTTCTGGCTCTGCAACCCCCTGACAGGAGGGGAGAGCTGGGGGGGGGTCGGGCTCTGCTCCCAGGGAACAAGGGACAGGAGGAGAGGGAACGGCCTCCAGCTGTGCCAGGGGAGGGTCAGGCTGGACACCAGGAGGAATTTTCTCATGGAAGGGGCTGTCAGGCACTGTCAGGTTGTCAAGCACCATCAGCTCTGTCACTTGTTCCACAGAATCCCAGAATCCTCGAGGTGGGAAAAGCCCTCCCAGCCCATGGATCCCCCCTGTGCCCGATGCCCACCTTGTCCCCCAGCCCAGAGCTCTGAGTGCCACGGCCAGGCCTTCCTGGGACACCTCCAGGGATGGGGACTCCAAACCTCCCTGCCAATGCTTCACAACCCCTTCCATGCAGAAATTCCTCCTGACGTCCAACCTGAACCTTCCCTGCTGCAGCTCGAGGCCGTTTCCTGCTCAGAATTACTCGGGAATAACTTGCTGAGTGACCAAAAACCTGCTGCACGTGAGTGACTGGGGAGGGAGAGGAGCTCCAAAAGCTGCTTGGAAAGTTTGGACACAGATCCCGCCGTGTCCCCCCTGGGGCAGCCTTGAAAACAACCAACAGACAAGCAGTTGATTATAACAAGCACTGATCTGGCTCTAATTTCACGTTAAAGGAGACAGTGAGGTGAAGTGACAGCGGAGAGACCCCCAGGGAGAGGGACTGGGAGGGACGTTCGGTGAAAAGAGGTGGTTTAGGCACCTCAAAGGGGCGATTTAGGCGCTTTCCCCCCAAAAAAAAAATGGGGTTTAAAAATAGCAGCGCTGACACAGCCTTAAATTTAGCAGCACAAGTGGCATCACTGCCATAAGGGGAACTCGATCCCGCCGAGGGATCCGGTGTCACAGCCGGCACCAGGGGTCCTGGGGAACAGCTGGAAGCAGGGATTGGACAGGGATATTCTCCACTGCTCCGAGGCAGCTTCTCCCACAGCAACTTCCTTCCCTTTAATTCAGCTCCACTCATGGAATGGTTTGGGTGGGAAGGGACCTTAAAGCCCATCCAGTCCCACCCCCTGCCACGGGCAGGGACACCTCCCACTAGCCCAGGTTGCTCCAAGCCCCATCCAAGTGTCCCTTGGACACTTCCAGGGCTCTGGCATTCCCTCCAACCCCTTTTCCAGCTCAGACAACCTGTGGCACCCACGAGGAACAACAAAATTCCCCCCAGTTCCTGTGAGCCCGAGCGATGCTGCCCTTTCTCCTCGGGAATCAGCAGAATCCCAGCTCCTCAGCCCACAGGGAGAGCAGCCACGTGGAGTTCCCCACTCTGGGACCTGGTTTTGCTGCGTGACCGAAAAAAACCACATCCAAAAATCCAAGAGGAGGGAATTTTAAACTCCTCAAGGGGTCACAAGTCAAAGTGCTCAGGGATGAACAGCAGGGATTCTGCTCAGAAGCACCAACCTCGACCAGCCCGTTTCAAACAGACCCGAGGACACTCTAATTAACACTTTAATTAACACCAACTCACCTCTGACACCTCCCGCCAAGGAGTCAGAGGCAACTCTCATCCTCAGCCCACATTCCTACAGGTACCCAAAAAAAGCCCCGGGAGGATTTCAATGGTCCCAGGGCCGGGAACACCAAGAAAGAAGCAACAAAACCCACCTTTCCACGTGTCCCTCCTGAGCGGGCTCCAACCCGCACACAAGTCCCTCTCCAGCCCCTTCCCGCCCGTTGGGAGGCCCAGGAAGCGGGAATTATTTGCGTTTCAAAGCAAAGCCGTTGTCCGTGAGGACTCCAGAAAACCGCACGGCGCCTCCCGTCCCCAGGGAGGGCCCCGGGCTCCTCTCCCACCTGTGGCTCCTCGTCCAGCGAGCCGGGACCGGGGGGGGCTCTCCCGGGACTGCCCGGGAGCTCCCGGCTCCACGTGCTCCGCCAACGCGCCGGGGGAAGGGGCTCGAGACGAGACTCCTCCGGGCCGCGAGTCCCGCACGGCCCGGGGACCCCGCACCGAGCGACCCCCGGGAGGGGCGGCCCCGGGAGGGGCAGCGCAGTAACGGGACCCCGCACCCGCCGGGAGGGGCAGCCCCGGGCCAGCCCGTGCCCCGAGCACCGGGAAGCACCTCCGGGCGCGGCGCGGCGGGAGCGGCTCCGGCCCCCGCGGGGGACACCCGGGGACACCGCGGGAGGGTCCCCGCGGCCGCCGCCGCCCCCATCCCCGCTCCGACCCCTCCCCGCCCCCGCCGCACTTACCGGGCCGGGCCGGGCCCAGCGCCGCGGGGCCGCCGCCGCCACCCCGGGCCGGGCCGGGCCTGGGCCAGCGCGGGCCGCCCGGGCGGGGCGGCGGAAGGGGGGACAGGACGGGGAGGGGGGGCGGGGGGCAGGGAGGGGGGCGGGGGGGGAAGGGGCGGCCGGAACGGGGGAAAAAAACGGGGAAAGAAACGGGAAAAAAAAAAAAGGGAAAAAA